GCGAACAAGGGCAGCAAAGTAAAGTAAAGAAGTGAAAGTACTTTTCCAGTTGATGTTTGGGGACCTGAACTGGACAACATGGCATAAAGGTATGGGTACAAAGAAAGTCAGTAATGGTACAAGGAAGTTTCACAGTCAATGTTGATACAAAGACTACAACCCATTTGCTCGTTGTTCCGAGGAAACTTACAGCCTGGAAAAATGCAAAACCTTCGCAGATAAGACTTACAATGAAAAGAAAAATCTCATCAGATCAAAGGGATTATGCTATGGTTGTCTCAGAAGTGCAAAACATTTTGTCAAAGAGTGCAAGGACAAGTTGATTTGTGACAAGTGTGATAGAAGCGTCCTAGAGTATTACACTATAAAGGTCCTAAGATTAAACACAAGAAGAATCAGCCATGTTGACAACAGTGGGAATGGTCGATGTAGACTGGCAAGCAACAAAGTCCAGTAAAATTGCATGAAAACCAGTTATCATATCCACCAGGCTAAGATGTAAGGCAACTGGAGTTAGTGTAAAGACCTGTGCAGACCTAGAAAATGGCAGTGATAATGTTTTTTGTACTGTGACAACAATTGAATGCTGGCGGCAAGAAAATAAAGCTGAACCTATGCACCATAACTGGTAGTAAGCAAATAGATAGTCGTATGGTAAAATGTCTTGAAGTCACTGACTCATAAGAACAACAAGACATACCAGCAACTAAAGAAGTCATTGTGACTCCAGATGATATTAAATGCTGGCCACATCTTCAACAAATTCACTTGACACAGACATGGGCATCGTGATAAGAAATAACATACAAGAAGCCTTTGAACCATGAGAAGTCATCAACAGTGAAGGAAAACTTTGCCTCGTTGCAGCTCGCACTAGATTAGGGTGGGCGGTGAATGGATGTCTGACAGGGCCTGGTGATCCAACACATGAGAGTCTGAAACAGGCTAAAGTAAACAGAATTCAAGTGGGACCCACAGTAAACCAGCAGTTGACTAACTATACATGAATTCAATGAACGCATCACAGATGACAAACCTGAAGGTTCAGTGGAGAATAAAAGGTTCATGGAACTCATGGAAAATGGTTCCATTGACCTTTCATGACAGAACAGCAATAGAACAAAGGTTCAAACAACTAAAACAAAGTTTCGAGAAAGATCAATCATACCGTAATGACTACACACTATTCATGGATGGTATTATCAACAAGGGTTATGGTGAGTACTTGAAGTATTCCCCATTTATTTATTTATTTATTATTTTATTTATAATCTCATTGCAACAAGGGTATTTCCTTCACCTTTATAAATATTGATAAATTTCACAACTCAAACTGAAACGAAAGTTTTCCATTGGCCAATTGAATAACATTGGAACGTTTTTAATTGACGTCGTTGAACTCTGTGCTTGTTGATTGGCTAGTTTGCTTCAACTGCCATTGAAATTTTAAAAAAATTGTAGAGATGCAAGGAATATTTTTGTTGCACCAAGACTGTGTTAGCCTATATTTTACAAAGCCACACAAGTGTAGAGTCACTGGTTTGTGATGCTCGGTAACCGGCAGTTATTGTTCTTCGCTTTGCCCAATGCTAGGAATTATCGTCTCCAACAACCTAATTCTCGATATTAGCCTCAGGTACCCTCAGGTGTTGGAACTGAGTTTGCATTTTAAAGGCATCCGTGTTTTTAAACATCCAACACAACAATTTGTGTATTTCTTCACAAGGGAAAAATTGGGGATTAATAAAATGTACCAAGATTATTGTCAAACTAAACTAATTGTGTGTTACATCATAATTGCAGCACAAGTCACATTACTGTCGAAATGACAATAATACTCTCATTCACGGGATGGAATGTGTGGTTTTATGCACTTATTAAACCACAGAAATGAAGTTGGGTGAATGTGATTAGTTGTGCTTGTTACACCGGGCAGTGAATGGATTTGAATACACTATTTCACTCTGTTTAGCATATTTGGTTTAAATGACGGTGGTCGTCGCGTCGCCTATGTACAACATATGTGTTGATAAACATTGATTTTCCCACAATCCAATGCGCTCTTCTAATGAAATCACGACGAAGGTCACGAGTTTTGACCTGGGCGTGACTTGCACTATTTACTTCCGGCGACTCCTTTGATAGCTTCCAAACACAACAAAAAACTTGATAACTCTCAGTTTGTTTCTCACGCAACTTATAATAATGTTGGTAGTTCCGACAAAAGATTTTAAACATTTCATTATTTCAAATGAGACGTAATTATGGAATGAGATTCCGTTCTATATTCATGCACATCAAGGTTTAGCCATGGCCCCAATGAATTGGGTGTGAATAAGTTACGTGAACGTGGTCGAAATAAGTATGTGTCGCAAGTCTATATGTAACCAAGGTAAACATCATTGGTTGATATGTTTCCCAGCTAGAAAGATTGACAACAG